AAGGGGGGGGGGGGGGTAGAAAGGGAAGGGGTGGTTAGAAGGTTTGAGGAAGGGAAAGGGAGAGGAGGAAAGAGCCGGGGAAGAAGGAATGGTGGGTGTTAAGGAAGGGTGGCGGAACAGGGAGGAAGAGATAGAAGGATGAGAGGGGTAAGAAAAGAATGAAGAAAGGGGGGATGGGAGAAAGCATGGGTGTATGGAAGGAAGGATAAAAGAACAAGGGTGGGGGGAGAGGGAAGGATGGATAGGAGGGGGAAAGAAGAAATGAGAGGTTTGGGTGAGGGAGGTATGTTGGATTAATGAATAAATAAAAAATAAAAGAGAATGAAAGGAGGTTAAAAGCCAGAAGGGAAGGAATGTGGGGAACAAATAAAAAGGGAGATCTCAATATTCAGAGTCCTAATATTTTATTATGTATTTATAGGTTACCTCCATGTGTGATGGCACATTTTGTTGAAGGTGTGAAGAACAAAGATTTCTTGAAAAATGGTTTTGTCTGTCAAGGAAAGGAGTACGAGTTATGTCAGTTAATTCAATACAAGAAAAATCCAGATCATTTTATTGCTTGGATTAGAAATGGCAATGGTATGTGTTGTTTGTTGAATTTTTAATCATATCATGAAATCATTCCCTGTTTTGTGCTTGTAGCTTAGCCCATCGAGTGGCAGCTTGACCCTTGATGAGTAAAATCATCTGGCATTGGACAGAGTAATAGGAGGGAGGGAAGAAGAAAGAGTATTGGGGGGGGGGGGGGGGAAGGGGGAAGGATGGGCATCGGGCTGTATTGTCACTAAAGGGTTAATTTTGTTTTGCTTGCACAGACAAATGATTGTATTTAAATTTTTTTTTTTTCTTTCAGGAACACATTGGGCCAAAGTGGATGATACAAAAAATGTAGTTTGCAAATGGAGAAAAGGTCATCCCTCCTTTCCCCTCGATCAGTTGCATATCGCAGTGTGGCAGCGTGCCAAGATATATCAGAGAAAATCATTGTCGGTTGAAAGTGTTGCCACAGCATTGGCCGAAACAAAGATATTGGAATCTAGGGTTGTCAAAGCCAGTTCAACAGTGGGGTTATCGGAATATCTTAATGATAAACTTTCATTGGCATCATTGAAAGACAACCGGTTACTGAAGAATATTGGATTGAGTTCAAGTTCATCGAAAGATACTTGGTTAAGAGAACTTTCCCCTCAAAGCAATGTACTTTCTAGTAATGTTAAAATGAGAGGCGAAACTAATGATGTTTTGCCGGACAGTGGGAAGTCTTTAGAATTGGAAGAAGGCAGTGGTCAAAAGAGGAAGAATACTTTTGAACCGTATATCCCAAAGAAGAAACGAACTTCATCTACTGGTATTTCTCTGAGCAAAGATGAAGAGAAAACTGGCACAATTTTAGAAAACATTAGGTCGCCAATTCTGGCAAACGAGAACAAACTTACGGATGCTTCAACAAGCATTTCGCATTGGAAAGCGATGAGCAGAATTGGCAACGATAAACAGGGTGTTATTTGCGACAACCAGAGTGATAGCGGTTATTCGAGTCCTGGTTCGAACGGTTCATGCGTAAGTTTGCCTTCGAATCATTGTACGAAGGAAGAAAATTTGATTCTGAATGAGATAATTGATACGCTTGACGAGATTGACATTCCACAGAAGAAGTCTGATTCGCTTGGGCTAAAGTCATCTCTAGCTGTAGCGAGAGGAAAAACAGATTTAGTTGGGAGCTTAGGGCACTCTAATTTGTCATCTGTCAAAAAGGACACTAGCTTCACTAATGATTTGGAACTATCTGAATATATTTCCAAGACGAACCTTGATTCGTGTGCCAATTTGGCGGCTATCAAGGGCATGTCGAGTAGTGACGACGGTAGAGACAAGTTAGATTCTGCCAGGAGATTGGAGCCTTGTGATTTTGCTGACATAGAGACAGTTTCAAATTGTGGGATCGATATTATGGATGAGATTGATTTTCTTGAAAATATGGACTTATTGAATGGTGCTACAATGGAAGATTCGAAGACAGTTACTTCTAGAGAGAAGAATTCGAGTCTCAAATCAGTTACTTCGAACGAGGACAATTCTGTTCTATCGTCGAGCGAGTTAAACTGTGTTTTTGAACCGCTAAATCTGCCAGAACTTTCGGCATTTATGGCACTGGAACTTGAAATGAACAAAAACTCTTCAACAGGCCATAATTTTAGTTGTGAAGATATTTTGGAGGAAATCTTTCCTAGTAAATTGCTAGATAAAGAAACGTGCGAGCAAAGTTCTACTTCTGAATTTATTGATATTACTGAACAGACGCGAGTGTGAGTAATAGGCCAGCAGATGATGGTCAACTTCGGGAATGATGATACTTGTTGGAGCAAGAGAATGAAACTTTATTTATTTTTATACCGCCAATTCAAAAAAGGTTTTCCTTTGGCACACCTTAAACTCTAAACCTTAAACTCTAAGCGCGCAAAGCTTAATGGGAGCACAAGTTTCAAGCTTTAGTAAGTTGAATATTGCAGCTATTTTTGAATGAATTGTTCTCGTAAGAAGATGATTTCTAAACTGATTAAATGATGCTCGCATTATGCTTTACACGCTTAGAGTTCAAGGTTTCGAGTTCAATGTTTGCAAGAGATAACTTTTTTAATTAGCTGTAGGTAATACTAACGAGTGAGTTTTTCAAAGACTATCACATTTAGAAATTAAGAAAAATTTGAAAAATAAAAAATTAAGAAATTTGCAGTGTATCTTTTTTTCGCACTGTATTTTGAAAAAATTGCACTGCTCTTCAGTCAATCAGAACTGAGAAATGTTTTCGTGTATATTATTTGCTTCCAAATACAAGACTACTACATATAATGAAGAGAATGAACATTATTTTCTCACTCTCTGATAACTGCAGGTTGGCCATCATCTGCTGCACGATACTCGATAGTGCTTTGTGATATCCAGATGCACGAATATAGACTGCTTTAGATTATATAGACTGTATTCACTATACTGCAGTGATTATTTTTGTAAATATTTAAATACGTTATGTTGATCAGCAAATTTTATATGTCTTGTGTGTTCTTATATTTTCCGTCTCATTCAATTTGGGTCATTTCGATAGTTTTGAAACAGTGTGAAAATCACTGTAAAAGTTTTTTATGATTTTGAAAAACTGTAAAACATGGGGGTGTGATCGAGGCTAACACACCCGTTTTGTCTGCTCACCTATCTGTTGTAACAAATTTGTTTTCATGATGTTATTAAACTAAACTAAACATGTCGTCCTCAAAACAAATGCTCCCCACGCTTGTAATACTGCCTAAATTCTTGATGAAAATGATATTTTTTGTTAGCGTTCTTTCAACACTGCGTCAACGTTATTTGGAAACCACGAATAATTACATGCATGGCTGTCTTTCATTCCAACCGTTTCTCTTTAAAGCTAGAATCATAGATATCTTATATAAGATATCTATGGCTAGAATGCTTATCAGTTAATGTCTATTTATTATGGCTGCAGATTATACGAGTTATTTTGCTGTTGATATGTTTGTTAAAGTGCGGGGGTTCTTCGATTCTGAGTTTAAAGATTCGGGTTTTTTTCGATTCTGGGTTTAAAAGATTCTCGGGGGGTTTTCGATTCTGGGTTTAAAAGATTCGGGGGTTTTTCGATTCTGAGTTTAAAGATTCGGGCGTTTTTCGACTCTGGGTTTAAAAGATTCGGGGGGTTTTCGATTCTGAGTTTAAAGATTCGGGGGTTTTTCGATTTTGGGTTTAAAAGATTCGGGGGTTCTTCGATTCTGGGTTTAAAAGATTCGGGGGTTCTTCGATTCTGGGTTTAAAAGATTCGGGGGGTTTTCGATTCTGGGTTTAAAGATTCGGGGGTTTTTCGATTTTGGGTTTAAAAGATTCCGGGGTTCTTCGATTCTGAGTTTAAAGATTCGGGGGGTTTTCGATTCTGAGTTTAAAGATTCGGGGGTTTTCGATTCTGGGTTTAAAAGATTCGGGGGTTTTTCGACTCTGGGTTTAAAAGATTCGGGGGTTATTCGATTCTGAGTTTAAAGATTCGGGGGTTTTCGATTCTGAGTTTAAAGATTCGGGGGTTTTCGATTCTGGGTTTAAAAGATTCGGGGGTTCTTCGATTCTGGGTTTAAAAGATTCGGGGGGTTTTCGATTCTGGGTTTAAAGATTCCGGGGGTTCTTCGATTCTGAGTTTAAAGATTCGGGAGTTCTTCGATTCTGAGTTTAAAGATTCGGGGGTTTTTCGATTTTGGGTTTAAAAGATTCCGGCGTTCTTCGATTCTGAGTTTAAAGATTCGGGGTTTTTTCGATTCTTAGTTTAAAGATTCGGGGGTTTTCGATTCTGGGTTTAAAAGATTCGGGGGTTTTTCGACTCTGGGTTTAAAAGATTCGGGGGTTATTCGATTCTGAGTTTAAAGATTCGGGGGTTTTTCGATTTTGGGTTTAAAAGAGTCGGGGGTTCTTCGACTCTGGGTTTAAAAGATTCGGGGGTTCTTCGATTCTGAGTTTAAAGATTCGGGGGTTTTCGATTCTGAGTTTAAAGATTCGGGGGTTTTCGATTCTGGGTTTAAAAGATTCGGGGGTTCTTCGATTCTGGGTTTAAAAGATTCGGGGGGTTTTCGATTCTGGGTTTAAAGATTCCGGGGGTTCTTCGATTCTGAGTTTAAAGATTCGGGAGTTCTTCGATTCTGAGTTTAAAGATTCGGGGGTTTTTCGATTTTGGGTTTAAAAGATTCCGGCGTTCTTCGATTCTGAGTTTAAAGATTCGGGGTTTTTTCGATTCTTAGTTTAAAGATTCGGGGGTTTTCGATTCTGGGTTTAAAAGATTCGGGGGTTTTTCGACTCTGGGTTTAAAAGATTCGGGGGTTATTCGATTCTGAGTTTAAAGATTCGGGGGTTTTTCGATTTTGGGTTTAAAAGAGTCGGGGGTTCTTCGACTCTGGGTTTAAAAGATTCGGGGGTTCTTCGATTCTGAGTTTAAAGATTCGGGGGTTTTCGATTCTGAGTTTAAAGATTCGGGGGTTTTCGATTCTGGGTTTAAAAGATTCGGGGGTTCTTCGATTTTGGGTTTAAAAGATTCGGGGGTTCTTCGATTCTGAGTTTAAAGATTCGGGGGTTTTTCGATTCTGAGTTTAAAGATTCGGGGGTTTTCTATTCTGGGTTTAAAAGATTCGGGGGTTTTTCGACTCTGGGTTTAAAAGATTCGGGGGTTATTCGATTCTGAGTTTAAAGATTCGGGGCTTTTTCGATTTTGGGTTTAAAAGATTCGGGGGTTTTTCGACTCTGGGTTTAAAAGATTGGGGGGTTCTTCGATTCTGAGTTTAAAGATTTGGGGGTTTTTCGATTCTGAGTTTAAAGATTCGGGGGTTTTCGATTCTGGGTTTAAAAGATTCGGGGGTATTTCGATTCTGAGTTTAAATATTCGGGGGGTTTTCGATTTTGGGTTTAAAGAATCGCGGGTTCTTCGATTCTGAGTTTAAAGATTCGGGGGTTTTTCGATTCTGAGTTTAAAAGATTCGGAGGTTTTTCGATTCTGGGTT